CTTCTTCAAGACTAAATGGAAAACAACAGTCCTATTTATTTAAAAGAATTTAAAAGGCTAAAATATCTTGGATCAAATTGTAAAAAACTTGAACATGTTATAAATAAAAACAAGCTTACATTTTAATTTTTTTTTTTTGTACTAGGATCTTAAAGGTAATGAGATTCTTCACATCATACCCCCTAGTTACTTGATTTATGTACAGAAGAGATAGTATTGCATTTGTAGATGAATAATTGAAACATCATTAAAATAACTACTAAGTGAGCAGTGTGATGTGGAATGTGGAAGCTCCAAAACCAATTGACTGGATATTAAATACAATTTGGGGGTAGATACATATTAAAAACGTAAAATGCTTTTAAATTTAATATTAAAAATATTAAATGATTTTTTAATATATCTGATAGTTTCTGGGTTTTGATGATATTTATTTAAAGATGCTGTTATTTTCTGAAGAGTTTGAAACATCTTTTGTAAAAGAGAAATTATTTCATAACAGGGAAGTTATTTGAGAAAGACATGCTAATTTGATATTTAAGTTGAAGAGATGGTAAGTTTCTGTGTTCTAATAACGCTGATTCTAGAGATGATAATAATAAAAGTGAATTAAAGGGATGTTAATGTAATGCTCTGTAATGAGTATAACTTTCTATACCACTTCCATAGCCAGCAGTTCAATTAGTCTTAATGACTTTGTAGAAAGATGTTTGTTCTTTTAGTAATTTTAAAACTGTGTTATATTATTATGAATTTCAAGCATAAATTGATTCATAAATTCAAACTTTCATTTTTGTTTTTTTTAAGAACTGAGGATTATTATGAAGTTTATACAAATAAGACATTTGGATTTGAAATATGACTTTGAGAAAGTAAGGCTTTTCTACTCATTTCTGATAGTAGAAGAAACCACTGGGAACCTGTGAGAGTTTTTAAAATGCATTTCATGGTACAGTTAATGCCCAGAGAAGTCAGAATTTATGACAATGTGTTTTGAATCAAAATAATTCTGGTGCTGAATGTAGCACAGATGTATTTTATATGCAAAAAAGAACTTCTTTTTCTCTTTATCTATGAAGTGTACCTGCTTGACACATCAACTGTGAGAAACTAATTGAAGGATTAGAATAGATGGGAATTTGTACACATTTCATGTGGAAAATTGAAGTACAATTTTTTTTTTCCTCGCTTCATAGTGGTAAGACATTACAGAATTTCAACTTGATAATATACTTAATCTGTGAACAAGTATTCTAAGACGCTTTACATGGTTGCAAATTGATACAAAAATACAATTTTCAAGTCCCATGTTCACACTGAATTACATTAATAATTAATTAGTCTTGCTGCAGCTAGAGTTTCATTCTTTTTGTTAGGTATCAGCCAAAGTTTCTTTTTTCACTCCAGAAAGATGTCATCAGATACTGGGTTTCCATAGAGAACTATCAAGCTTGCAGACAATGCTTTTTTTTTTTTTTTTACTAATTAGTATCCAGAAAGTACTGGAGAAAAAAACCCTAAGGCTTTGGGTTTTCAAGTTACTTTTAGGCAAACTTCCTTAAGCACATATTTTGATAGATCAAAGTAGCTTAAATTATGTAAGCATAAATAAAAAAATAATATATAACAACGTAAACCTACACTTTTAAAAGATTGAATGTGAAATACACAAGTGTTTTTCCCTGAAATTGTTGAACAATTAATCCCTTCTATTAGCAGGAAGCATTTGCTGTCCTTTTCTGTGAATCATTTCATGACCGGAATTTACTTGAGTCTCCTGCTCAAATCAGTGTTGACGTTAAATTCAGACAAAGTTGCTTAGGACAGCCTGCTCCTGTAATAAAGCAGTTATTCTCATAGATAAATTCAATGATCCTGTGATCTTTATTTGTCAGGCCTTCCTAATCTGTCTTCTTTTCTTGCCTTCTCATCAGTAACTGGCTTGTTCTGTGTTACCCATCTCCATGGTACCGTCTTCACAACTCATGCTTCCCATTTCCTCACTGAACATCATTAACTTGTGCCTAAATGCCACCTTCTACTTCACTCTCACTTCTGCTGGTCCCTGCATTCTCGTGAATCACATTTTCTTCTTCCTGCCTTTTCTGCCACTGTCTCTATGTTTGATAGGTGTTAAGGACTGGAACTCACTGAAGAATGAAGATTTTCTGCTCTTGGCCCAGTCTCTAGTCTCATTTGGGCCAGGACCAATAATTCAAAGAAAACTGGGTGTTGTTCCAATAGCCCCAGACATTCTCAGTTATCCATATGCAGTCTTGGGAGGGGTAGGAGCATGCCTACTGCCAGCAGAACCTTGGGAGATACCATGTGTTAAACTCTGTGGTCAAAAATGAACTGAGGCTTTTGTCAAGTCTCAGAGTTTTCCCATATGTAGTAAGAGTCCATGAAAATGGAATGCCTGACAAATGATAAATCAATGCCTGACATATACCAATTTTTTTTTTTGTTTCTATTTGTTCATGATAATGGAAATTATCATGAAAAAGAAAAAAAAAAAGCCCAACAAACTAGCTGCCTTTCCTCTCTGTTCCAGAAAAAAATTTCACTTTCCTCACCTTGTTGTTCTGCTTGATGCAGCAGGATGTCTCACTTGAAGTTATTGGCAAGTTCCTTTTCATGAGAAAATTTTCAGGGTTGTGGACACAATGTTATGTGATCTCTTCTGGTTACACTTACAAAGTGAAGCAAAAATTATTTTCAGAGTTTCAGATAGGTCTGGATGTGCAGCCCAAAACAGAAGTGCAGGTCTGACCAATTCATTTCAGATGGTGGAAGGCACATTTCTTTTGATCTTTCAGTTTTTGAAAGACACCTGTATAATAGTTTAAGAACAGCACCACAGACCCAAATCTTCCCTGTCATCCTGCAGAATGAACTGAGGAGTTTGTGGAACTGTGTGTGTTTCTCAGTCAGCACTTTTACATAGATGTATGAGCCCAGATTTACAAAGGGCATATGTCGAATCAGAGAATGATTTAATTTGGAAGGCTCCTGGGAAAGTAATTTGCAGTTCAATCCCCTCGTCAAAGCAAGGGTAACATTAAAGTTGGATTCTATAACTGATCTAGGCAATCTGTTCCAGTGATAAATCCCTCTTCTTCTGGATTTTTTGCCCCTTATCACCAACTGGAATTTCTCTTGTAGTTCTTTCAGACTCTTGCCTCTTGTTCTTTTCTATTGCATCTCTGAGAATGCAGAGTGTGTTGCCAACTTTCCTGTAATCCCACTCCTTTTTACATAGTGAAAAATGTTGCCATGCAGCATTATAGTCCTAAAGTGAAGTGCCAAGATCTTGGCAAACAGAATTCATAAATCTGATAAATCTTCATAAATCTTTAATAAATGGAAAAAAAAAATCACGAATGGGATTTGTGGTGGTGAGTAGAGAGTCTAGCAAAATCAGCAGGAATGAAGGGATATGCAAAATCGTAGCTTTCGTCCAAATGGATGCAGTTGGGTTCAATCCTGAAAGATGCACGTCTGTGTGTTGTGGCCCTAAAAGCCACTCTCAAGTGTTAAGGTGTCTGTTACCTTAAGGTCTTACTCTCTCTCTCTTTAGAATGTAGGTTTGAGACATAACTTTGTCTATAATGATTCTTAATTGATCACTACTAATGTACCAATTAACACAATAATTAATTAATCGGCAATCCACTAGGTATCACAGTTTTATAATGCCTTACACTGTAATTGAGTTCTAACACTTCTTTAATATAAATCACACCATATTATTTGGAGTTACAGTTCTATAACCTTCACTTTAACTTCCCACCTCAGTTAGTAACAAATTTGCAATTCTGTCACCCTTTTAACTTCTCACTTTGAGTGTTTTGGATGTAGACCCCATAGAGAGTCCACTGGGTTTCCCATGGGTCTTCCCTCTGACCCTTTATTAATAAAGCAGCTCAGCTTTATTAGAGTCTGTGGGCATCTGCATTCCTTTCAAAAGATCTGCCCACTTTTGTTGTTGTACTGCCTTTATAAGTTGCTCATTATCTCTTACATTTCTAGATGCTTGTTTTTCCTGCCCTTCTATGTCCCTTTCTCTACCCATTCTACTTTCATATAAACAAGCTGCCCCTTAATTGCTCTTTCCCCATTGCTCCAATTTTCTACATCCATTTGCAGATTTCATATTTCTGAAACCCTTTCCTTGGTAATCTTGGCCTTAAATGGTCTTACTGATGTTGATAGGTACTGATGGACTTGTGAGATTCTACCCTTGTCAAATATCACCAATACTCCCTTTCAGTTACCTGCTTAATGTCCATTACATATTCTTTATTTCACATGGTTTCTTTAAAGACTTCTTTACATCAGTCTACTTTGGCCTCTCTTACCTCTGTCTGGTTTTGGTTAAATGTGCTTTATTTCTATCCCACGTAGCTCTTTCTGGTTCATATGCAAGTGAATATACGTGCTTTTTCTCATTCCGTTTTTTGCTCACACGGTATCCTGCTTGTCAGGGAGCAGTGCAGGCCAGCTGGTCCCTAAGGGAAGAGGAGCCAGGTGCTGAGCATAACAGGCTGACAAAGGAAGGGCTCAGTCCCTCCCCAGCAGCACTATCTCAGAATTGTCCTTGAGTCCAGGTAGGCAAACCTCCCTCCCCTTCCAGGAAGAGGGCTTGCTGTTAGCTCCCTTCCAGTGCTCACTCTGTCAGATGTTCCATCAGAAACCATGAACCTTGACGTCTTCTGGTAATCTCCCCATTTTTCTGTCTTGTTATAGAGTCCAGTACTCCGGCAGAACCTCTTCCTCAAAGGGATCAGTCCTCCGTTAGATTAGGACCAGATGCTCTTCTGTTCTTTGAAAAGATGATTAAACATTAACTCAAATTTAAATGGTGTTTTTTTTAGTTATACCTTGCATATATATTTGCACCTTTAGAGGTATTTATTAGTGATCAATTTGGGTAATGTTACAACTTTACAAACTTTTACAAGATTTTGAAAAATGTGTTTTTTTTCTGTTTCTTTTAGTATCTCCTGAAGCAATTGGATTCCTGTCTGCAGTTGGGGTGTTCATTATTCTCATGTTGCTACTTTTCCTATATATTAATAAGAAGATGTGTTTTGAAAATGTTAGTGGTTTCCCAGATCTCGATTCAGGATACACTACAAGAAAGAATTCACAAGATAAACTTTGTAAGTATTTGACATACAGTGTACTAAACTTGATTATTAAGAATGCACATTTTTACAAGGATGTAACAACAGCGTTGACTTTTCCTATGACTGTGCAATACCTGGAAAGGAACAATCCTTTGTGTCCACGAGCCATAGAAATTCAACAGCTATATAACCAAACAGTTGGCATTTACTTATGGGAAGATACTTCTCTTGCAGTATGAGAATACTCTTGAACTCATTTTAAACAGTCCATAATTGTGTAAAATTAAATCTTTTCAAGTAAATTTGTGAATTAATTGATGGATTTTCAACAAGCTTATTAAAATCCTTCACGAAACTTTTGGAGGTCTTGCATTTTTCACCTGGAAAGTAATTTTAAAGAAGTAAAACATTAGAAACACCTCTAACTAACAAATTACCAAATACTTTTAATACAACAAAGTCTTTAAGGATCATGTGTAACAAAGAAACTTAGACCTTCAAAAAGATATTGAGGGTTGATAAAACAACCCCTTTCTACTTTTGTGCTGTGGAAATTGAACAGGCTTTTTTAGCTGACTTGAGAGAAAGAGACAGTCATCATGGAACAAGAATGGGAAATTGGAGAGGTCTTCTTCCCCTCTACCTCTTTAAAATATGGAGCTAAATTTTTATTTTCAATTTTCTTGGAGACAAAAAAAGTTCTTCCCCTGGAAATTAAGTCCGTCTTATTAACTTTCTTTTTTGCTACAAAACAAATCTTCATGTTCCAAAATACCTTACCTTATTTAAAAGACAACAGATATTTTGGGGTGAAGAAGTCTCCATGATGTGTGTTGTGTTGTGTTAAAAACTTGTTTCAGTATGACATTGATGTAAGGATATAATTTAACTCACAACTTCTTCTTTGCAGGTTAGAATAAAAAAAAAAAATCCACCTCACACAGTTTTCTGGTTTTTGAAAATAATGAATTTTTTTATGGCTAGTTGGTGCTGCAGTTGATGAAAGACTGTGGTTTTGCTGGTTGATTGTGACCTCATTTCAAGGTATTAACTTAGCTGTTTTCTTATTATTTTGAATGCACATTGAATGGAAAGAGGAAAGCTGCGACTTCCCCTGGTAAATATATTGATTTTTGAGATAGCAAAAGCAAATAGTTCTGAACTTGAACTTGGAGAAACAGAGATGATCTGTTTGTAAAACAGAGGACCTTTCATTATTAAAAATTGTTGCTGAATAGGCTGGACAAATGGCGTTTTTCAAAAACCTTCACCAAAATCTGAGCCTTCCCTCTGTGTCTTCCCTGGTGGACACGCTTAGCAGTGCTGTGGATGATCTGGCCAGTGTTGTTGGAGAGGTCAGCTACACTGTAGCTGACTCAGTAACAGAGCAAGTAACCAGCATGATAAATGGCCTTCGTGCAGAAGACGAGAGCTCCAAAATGCAGAATGATAAACCTGTGGAAGGGAGAGAGGAACATACACCACCAGTAACTCATTCTCAGGAAACTAGCATGAAAGCGAAGAGGGGTGTCACAGAACACAAAGAGACTCATAGTTCTAATTCATTAGATTTTGTAAAAAAAGGTACTTGTAAAGGTGGAGAATCTGACCGTGTCTTGGACATAAACCAGTGCCAGTTAAAAGGCACAGATAATAATAATCCTTCCAGTTATACAGAAGTACCTCAGGTTTTGAAGTCTGTAGGAGGACCTTTTGAAAGGGAAGCAGTAGGGGGAAATGAGTGTATTGTAAATGATAAGTTCTTGAAGGATAGTCACCTGAAAAGTAATAAATTTACCATGGAGCAATCTATTGAGAAGCAAGATAATTGTCTATATGAAGTATTGGATAATTCTAAGAATCACTTGCATAGAAAAATCAAACCACGTTCACCTGGAGTTGATTTTAAGGATTCTTATCAAGTGCATAGTATGAATGTTCCCCAAGATTTAGAAACAAAACTTGTTGAAGTACAAAAGCAAAAATTATCAGACTCCAGCTTGAAGAAGATGCACAATGACGACCTCAATTGCCTAAATGAAATCAAAGAAAAGAAATTGGAAGCCTTTTTTGACAGAAAAGGAAAATTCATCTCAAATGAAGACAATATGTCAACTACAAGTGCTAATGATGGTAAAAAGAAAAACTCAAAGAAATTAGAGAGAGAGCTATGTAATAAGAAGACAGCAGGAAAAGGTGAGGAGTCTGTTAGCAAACTGCATTCTTCAACCTTTCCTGAAACTTATGATAATTCCTACTTTTTTCACCTAATTTACACATTTAATAATAGTGTTGCCTTTGGATGAAAGTAGGTTTGTTTTTTTACAGTGCTTCATTCTCTAATTATGTTGATATTACTTTTCAAACTATTACTTAAAGGAATTGACTAAAAAATGGCTTTCCTATGTTTTAACTTTACCTTTTTTTCTATGTGGTGTTTCTTACCTTCTCTGCAGTGCCTTGTGTGGTTTCTGTTGAAAACTATGAATTAATTAATTAATTAATTAATACTTGTTCTGCAAATGTGGTTTTCCTTTTGTTTATTTTAAAAGCATTGCATGAAATGTGCTAAGATGATAAAAGAAATAACTTCTCTTGCATTTACATTACAGTAGATCTTCAGAATATTTCTGGGATATGTAAGATAATGATTCCAAGACACGAGACTCAATGAGAAATGGCTGTTAAGTGATTTAAAGTATAGAAAAAGGGAATAGAAAAGTCTTATAGTTGTAGTCTTTAAAGAAAACCTGTGTGTTGTTGATATGGATACTACGTGTGCCGTCTTTAACATCCAGTCTTAAACGATATGATGAGGGGATTGCAATAACAGTTGAAGTAGCAGTACGAAGTAAAACCTCGCATTTTTACACAGTTGTTTTGCAAGCTGCCTAGGGAAGTTTTAGAAAGCAACACAGGCTTTTCCAGCAGTGCTGTTTCTGCAGAGAAATGAATGATTTCATAATAGAAACACTTTTTTTTTTTTTTTCACACTGTGTGTGTTTTCCGTTATCTGAAAATTTCAGTTATCTGCTTTCTTGGGTTTTGGTTTGGTTTTGGTTTTGTTTGGTTGGTTTTTTTAATTTGATTTAGGAGGTGTTTTCCATGTTTGTATGATAACTATGATCTTATCTATTATTTCTTTATGTAATATTATATTTGTAAACTATATTCTCTCTCAAAAATGGCATTTTAGGTCCCATAATAAACAAATTAATAGATTTCAATAGTGTACTAAATGCTCATGACCCATGTTAGCCAAATAAAGCAAAATTTTTAGTAAGAACATGAATTCTCTTAGGCAGGTTTCCAACTAAGATATAAAAGTCAAATGAGAAGTGGCAAGGAGAGGCATAAACCCCTGAGATTTTATTTTTTTTAAGGTACAGGAAGCTATTTTTTCCCAAGAATCTGAAACAAATTTACACTGTTAATTTTAAAAAGTATTTGCATGGATAGCTTATGTTTTAACTTTAATGAGGTTTTTAAGTCCTGCGAAGAGGTCCTGCTCTTTAATAATAGTATGCATTATCAGTCTTTTATGCTAGGAACTGGAGAAAAAAAAACACAATTGGTATCCCTGAGGACTTCTGGATGCTTACAAAAGTCAGTGTATTATTACATAACTTTCAACTCTTCTTTCAAACATGTTGCTATCATGCTCTATACTCTTCCTTTCTTTATGCAGGCTGATTAGTGAATCTGATTTCATATTTGTGAATACATTTCTTGCAATGCTAAAGGATGCATCTAATGCTGTTGTCTGGCAATATATTTTAGTCCTGGTATGCTCTGCTTTAATTATAGTTGTGGAAATCTGCAGAAGTTTCCAAGTTGGCAGGTTTCAACCTATTGAGGGCCGTATGAGAAAGAAAATTTTACTCTGTGTACCAGCAAAGGAGACTCAGGCATTATTTCTGTTGGAGATTGTGTTGGTGGTTTTGTTTTGTTTGGTTGGGTTTTTTTGTTTGGTTTTTTTTGGGTTTTTTGTGTGTTTGTTTGTTTTGTTTTTTTTTTTTTTAAATTCTTCCCCTCAAGTTATAGTTTAAAATCTGTAGCTGTTTCCAAAAATATATTACGGGAAAAACATGCGGGGTATTTGTGCAACAAAGTAAGTAGATTTCACATCAGCTTTACTAAGATGTTTTGTCATCTTTGTGTGTTGGAATTTGTACTTGAAATGTGGGAGAGCACTTTTCCTGTGTCAGAGAGACCCATGTTCTTTTATGAAAAAAACACCCAAGTTTGATGAAGTTGTAAATTTTTTGAAAGTTTGCTTTTTGAAAAGACATGGTAAACACTTCTTATACTTTGCTTGTTAAATTCACTGACCATCCCATTTGCACTCATAATGCTTCATTTTAGGGGCTGAAGAACAGAGCAGGTCATCGTGCCTTTGATGTTTGTGGTTACTGAGGGACACTGGAAGTTTGACCAGAAGAACTGAGAGTAAATGTGTCCTTTGTGAGGACAGAAACTTGCTGAACCAATATAGTGTGATGCATGCAGTAGGTTGGGATTTGAAGTAGGACGGGTGACAGCAGTGAGGCTGGAAAGCAGGAACTTAGGATATGACTCTACTCGTATAAATGTAACTTTCCAAAAGATGCATTACCTAAACTTATAGCATAGGTTTTTCTGCATGAGCACCAGGGAGAAAAAGACCTTGATGGGAAGTGATTTTATTCATCTGCTCTAGAGGCTTACCTAAAAGTAGGAAAGCTGGATCTCGGTAGTAGTCAGAGGATAACACTTGACTGTAGAAGAGGCCTACAAGGCTGGCATACCTTGAGTTAATGTAATTTTAAATGGCTGAATTTTGGGTAATTTGAATCCTTCCTTTAGTAGGAATACCCAGCCAGAGGAGTGAGACTGACTGGGCGTGAAGGCAGAGACTAAGGGGAGTGGCAGTGCAGAACTAGAGCTAAGGACAGGGCCTGGGAAAAGGTCTTGAAAGCAGGGAGGGAAGAAGCAGTTGAGTGTGGCTGGATGGCATGTTAGAGAACATTCCCTCACAGAATCAGGAGCTGAAAAACAGCGTTATGGGTATCTCAAAGCCCTGCCAATAATGGAACTTTACTGGCAAATCATGTGCTGTAGGCTTGCTTACTGAGTAGTGGTCACACTGACCTTTACTGAGTTTACATGAAATCTCTTAATGCTACTTGGAGTCTGAGATGTACAGAACCTCTGCAAAGCATGTTAAATTTGGGTGGAATCCATCTGAAGTTGGGAAGAGGGAGAAGGAAAGTTTCCTTTTACAGAAATAAATATGCAACTGAATCTTTGATTTGTGGGAGGAAGTCATGCTTGAGATGTAGTTGGAAAACATTAGCCACAGGAGTGGGCACTATAGAAGAGCTGTTATAAAAGAATTGAATAGCTAGATTTTTTTTTCCATGTAATTTTTGCTGTTGCCAGATGTCTGCAGTGAGAATATGCATTAATTTCAGTTAGTGAACAAGGGGCTGTTTACTGTAAGTTAAATAAAATTGTGCATGCAAACATCTTTCACTAGCATTTCCTTTCCCATTTGTTATTATGCTTTCAAGCACTGGCATAAATATCCTAAGACGATTTTTTTTGTAGGCTTCCCTTGGCAAATCAGTTTCATTTCTATGCTTTGCTACATGCTCACAGCAAGAATCAGCTGGGAATGTAGGATCAGGAGCTGCCTTTTTGATATGTTAGGTATCCAAATGCATTTTCCTATTTAATAAAGGGTTTCAAGAGCGTCAGTGGATGCTGCCTTGAATTGATCAGTTTTCTGCTGAAAAAGTGTTAGAATGGGTATTTGGGGCTTAATGATCTTTCAGGTTTTCTAGAAAATGAAAATAGCTCTCACCAATTACAAAATCACATACTGCTTATAATTACAACAAAATATTTTGAAAATATTACAGAAATTTTAATGAAAATTTCCTAATGAAATATCTTAAATATCTTCAATGATAACCTTTTATGGTTATTTTCTTGTATTCTATTTTGAGCTGTAGTCGATTTGCTTTATTTTATTCAAACAGACAATTCTTATATGAGTAAAGACCAGCATGGTTCATCATCTGAGAGTGAAGATGAAGCACTGGGTAAATATCATGAGGCCTTGTCTAGAACCCAGAGTTCCAGGCTGCCAGTGGTGGATGGCAGACAGCAAAAAAACTATATATGGGAAACCAGACAAAAATATAGTCCCCTGTCTGCAGAATATGATGGATACAGTAGTGAAGCCTCAATAGATGAAGGTAAGAGTGATTTAAAAGCCTTCCTTTTACTCCAAATTTCAGAATTATGTTCTGGATAAGTAAGTGCTAGACAAGAGCAGCTTGACCAGCAAATAGTCAAGGTCTGCAAGAAGTATCCAAACACCTTTTATATTTGTGCATGCTCAAAAAAAAAAAAAAAATTAAAGCACAGACTTGGGTGCATTCTTTCAGAAATACTGCAAATTATATAATATCTTGTTATATTAATTTTCATTAAATTTTATTATTATTCATTTTAATTTTGGGGGAAATTTAAACTGGTTTGATTAAGGAAGGAAGCATGGCAACTGCTGTTGAATCTGTGGTATTATAAATACAAAGAAGATGTGTTATTCCTCTCTTGATAAGCTGTTATGACAGCAAAGTAAATGGAATAGGTTATTGGCTGTAGTGCATATGGTCATTGCAGTGTGCATTACTGGAATGTTCTGGATGTTTTCTTCTCTTGAAAGAAATAAGTACAAAGATTAGGTTAATGTATTTTTTCCCATGGTGCTGGAAGTTGGATGTAAACAATGGATATTCTCTTAAGTGCTGTATATTTTTTGATTTTGAGCTAGGGTGACAACTTGACCTAGAGGCCGAGAATTCTGCTGTCAGTATTTTGTCAATATGCCTTTTGTATTTGAAAATAGCAGTATGTGAGAATATAGCCAGTTTTGAGCATGAAAAGTGAGCCTTTGTGGAAGTTAGATAAAAGTCAGATTCTAATACAGGTGCTGTGTTATAGTAAGATATTTGTTGGTCTCCCTTTAGTACATTAAAATGCAGAACTTTTTCAATGTTTGATGTTTTCTAATGAACATGGATACATGTAATTAAAAGATATCTGTCCTTAAATGTTCTGTGTAGTCCAGAAGTGGTTGAAAAAAAAATACATTTTCTACTGTGTAATGTAATTAAATTATATAGAAGTCTGTTTACCATTGAAATTTTTAATTAATGTATGGTCATTCATGATCCCAAGCTAAGACCCAAAGGACATGAAAGCCATAGCTGAATTAAGTTGCAGAGTAAGAGAATTCTCTTTTAATCATCAGAAAATTCAATTCTTTCCTCTGCTGTTAAACTGTAGGAAGGCTGAGTTCCAGCAAATAGTGAAGGAGATGCAGAGGTGAGGTCAGGTGATAAGAACTGTTGCTTGGACACCGTGATGGAGAAGGACAAGGAAGAGGGATAATAAAAGTATCATGTTTGGGATTTGTATCTACTGAGGTCTCTCAGCAGTGTTGGTTGGGGAAATATGAAAGATAAGATACTAATTTTTTGTATGGCTTATGTCACTGTTGGGAAAAAATGATGATGTATATTAACAGGAGAGGGAAAAATTATGGTATTTTTCAGCAAATAGTACAAATTATACAAGATGACTGCTTTCACATATCCAGAATAATGTATTTGTCTCTTTTCAAACCACTGAGGCTGGTTGTTGAAATAGTCATAGTCGTGACATTTGTCTTTATATTTCATAATTGCTCAGATTTTTTATCTACCCCAGTTTGTCGTCTCAGTGAAAAGTCCTCAGTTCATCTGAGCTTTTTACTTTGACCCTGTAACATTTAAGCTTCAAAGGCATTGTGCTAGCCTGTATCCAATTTTTTCTTTTGGTTAAATTTTTTTCTTTTTATAATTGTCTTCCTTATCATCCTCTTAGGTCATCAGGATTCATAGTCACTGATTTTTATCCTCTTCTGGGGAATGAAAACTCCAGTCTAGAAATCTATATCATTTTTGCAATCTGAGACAAAATAACCTTGTTGACAAGTCCAAGTTTTGCATCAGGAAAGTTACAGTTGTTTCCCCCCTCCTCCTTTTTTGTTATTCTTGTATTGCTAATGAAATCTATCACCAGGTGCTGTTCCTTCTCAATGCTCTTTCATTTGGGAAACAAGCTGGATATAAACCCCATTTATATATATGCAGACATATTCAGGGTTTGGGAAAAAACACTTTTAATGAAAAAACTGTCAAAACATTCTAATTTAGAAAATTTAAAATTTTTAACCACATACTTCTACTTGCATAAAATCTTTAATACTGACTGTATTTTGCTTTGGCTGCTGCTTATGACATCATTCTCTTTCCACATTTTACAAGGAGTAGAGAGTCAGCAATGTGGTTTATTTGACAACCTGCAGTCATTCTACAGTGTTCGGCAAGATGCTTGCAAATTGGAGTGATGTTTGTCTCCTTTCTGGAATCTATTATAATCTCAACAAAATTATGTTTAATATGATTTAAAAAAAAAAAAAAAAGGTTAGTATTCGACATGACAACAGATTACAGCCTAGTGTTTTTCACTTTTCGGTGACCTGAAGGTGGCACACTAGAATAATTAGTGTTAGTTCTTTTTCACGCTCCTCCTAAATTATTTCAAGTGTGAAAGAAAGAATCTTTACACAATGATTAAAAAGTTTTAGAATAGAGGAAAAGACAGAGTATCCCTTGTTATGTTATGATCATAACAGAGGGAAAGCTGCCCAGTTTAAAACTTTGATGAAGAGAAAGCTGCATGAAGAAAGCCTGCAGTCTTAAATAAATGAGAGACTGGCTGTTGCTACCGAACAGTTCATATGTGTTCAGACAAACAGTCCACTGAACAGATGACATTACAAATCTCTAATTCCAAGGGGGAGGAATCGTTAACATTGTAGATGTTTCAGTGTAACTGAATGTAAAGCTTTACTGTTTTCCTTAAATTTGGAAAATAAATCTGTGGAAGACTTGATGTCATAAGAATCCTGAAATTTTTCGTTAAATACTTGGTTTTCACGACTGCTAAATTATTTTTATAGGAAGTGGAAAGGCAGATGATAGAACCATTTCTTGATTCTTTTTCAGTGGAGGGTGAGCAAGCCATGTCTTCCTATCCACTTTATTTCATATGAGGAAAAATTGTCACTACGTTTGACTTCGTGTTTCTGTTTTCTCACATGCACTTCATCATTTCTACTTCTAAGTCTTTAGCATTTTGGCTGTATTTCCATCTTATGACACTGATGAGTCCATATGTTAAACAGGACTTGGTAATGTTACAGTGAAATGATAAGAGGACAGAATTCATTTTTGTCTCATCTCTATTTTCCTCCTGCTCTTTGCTAGTAAACCAGCCCCTGATAATTAAGATTAAGGACAAGGGGGAATGGTTTTAAACCGAAGGAGAGTGGGTTTACATTAGATATTAGAAAGAAATTCTTCACTGTGAGGATGGTGAGGCACTGGAACAGGTTGTCCAGAGAAGTTTTGGATGCCCCATTCCTGGAAGAATTTAAGGGCAGGTTGGATGGAGCTCTGAGTAACCTGGTCTAGTGGAAGATGTCCCTGCCCATGGCAGGGGGGTTGCAATGAGATGCTCTGTGAGGTCCCCTCCAACCCAACTCTCTACCTATCAGAGGTAGAGTAATACGAGCAATGAAAATGGTATTTTATTTTCAGAAAATTGTTTTTCTCTGCTGAATTTTCTCTTCAGCAGTTAATCTCTATCAAGTTGTATCTTGAAATAGTGAAGTGAGCTGTGTGTTTCCAGTTTTACAAGTAACTGTTTACTCTGAACTTCTCTCTTCACTGTTTAAATTTGTTTAGATGTGTCTGTACTCAACTCTGCACACACAGAATTTAATGAGACAAAAATATAATCTTGTCTTTGTTAATATACCCTGTTAGATTTGCTAAAAGCATGTGTAATATTAACATGTTCGCATCACTAAGACCTTCAAAATGTCTGATCATATTTTTTTTAAGGTTCACTTATTATTAATTACATAATTAGTTTATTACATCAATTTTCTGGCTTCATGCCTCTAAAGCTGTTATATTCTAAAGCCTGAAAATGTGTGTGGTATGTTTTCATATCATTCTTTTCTCCTCTAGATGGCCATATTAATCTTTCTTTTCAGCGTATTTATACAGAACTCGCATGGCATTTTATATCATGTTTGTAATAGCTGAATGAAGAAAGCAATATATTCTGTGGGTTTTGGTGGTGTATTCTGATGATGGAATGTTCCAGTAGCACTTTAGTTAATTCTGTGAAATTTAGGGTTTTAAATTTTTATTCACAAATACTTGCTTATAACCAGTGTCTGATCTGCATTAGGTATTTGTATTGCACATTTGATGCATTTAGATTTTAATAACTTACAGTGTGTATTTTAAATGAAAAATAAGTTACTATTGTCCTTAGGTGCAAATATTTCTACAGACTCAAAGCTACTGTAAATATACAACTTTTGCAGTGAGGTTCTCATGGGCAGGCTGAATTCTATAATATCGCTGAAGGAAAATCTAATTTATTAGAAAATCAAGTGGATGACAGATGTCATCATTAAAAAGAAAACGGTAGAGCTTTGCGCCTGAAATTTTCAACTCTTGCACAAATGACCAAAAACTTAATCACGGAAAAGAGAAATCTGTGTAACCACAGTATATGTGGACTTAATCACTGTGCTTAGGACCAGATTTCCAGGATCAGCTTGAAATTTGAAATTTTAATTTTACCAGTAATGGTATTCGTGTTATTTCTAATATTATTCAGTAAACTATGGATACTTCCTGAAGTGATCTCTTTTCCTTTTTACTGACACGCATCTTGGTAAAACTTCGTTTTAGGTTTTTATAACGAGTATTCTACCCCATTTCAGTATGTTGAATGTGAAGTATTGCCTTTATGTGCTCCAACTATTTGTAATATTTTGGAAAAAGGGATTAAGATAGGCTATGACATTACACGTTGTTCCAGAAAATAAGGAACAAAAGTAAGAAAAAACCCAGCATGAGATATTTCTGCTAACAAAGAGTTTTTGAATTGAAATAGGGATCTAAATAAGGAAGTGTAAAAATGTTATGTTTAGCATTGGTCTTATTCTTTGTACTTCATATTTGGAAATATTTTTAATATCTATATTGTGATCTTAAATGACCAAACTTTCTTAATTACTTCAATTTAAAAAAAAAAGTAAAATATTATATTAAACTATATT